TTGATATTTTAAGGTTGCGATAAGGCAATATTTTGATAGTTTTATTTATCAGTTCAACTTTTTCGGAAATAGACAAATTAAATATATATTTTTCGTACTTTTTTGAGGGTATCCATATTTTAAATTCATATAAATATGTTATTTTAATTATAATTTTCAAAGTTAACAATATTTTCCGTTTGTATTAGGTGCGATATTTGTTTTGAACGGACTTTACCTCTTTGTATAAATCCCAGTAATGAGGAAATGTATACAATCATTAGGTGTGTTTTAAACTTAAGTATGTGTTCAATCCCAATTAAAATTAATAACAAATAAATATAAATTTCTCTCTCTGCATCAAGGAGCAGCCAACCAACGCGAGTACCAATTACATTTGCCAGAGGAAGACTTGAACCCAAACCCGTAAGCCAAAGCCAAAGCCCAAACGGACATCCATTGATGAGCTGGGACCAATGATAAATACGGCTAATGGAAGTTTGCCCTTACAGATTATAATGTTTGTTGTTGCCATCTAAATTGAATTGCAATTGAAGCTCGCTCGCTCGCTCTCCGGATCGGTATTAAAATTCATTTAAATGGACTCGAATGGCCCAAAGCCATAATCGGGCCTATCGCAGCTAATCATCTAAAGAAGTGTGTTGTGTGTTTTGGGTCTGTGTCGCCATTGTTGGGTGCACATTTCCAATCAGATAAACACGCAGCCGAAACGCACGAACTAAAACCTGAAACAGAAACGGAATTACGGAACCCACACACACACACCGAGAGGAGCAGGAGGAGTAGGAGGAGCTGGAGTTCGAGACCTGGACAATGAGGAAATGGACATGGAACCGAAGGGCAGCAGGAGGAGCACGCAGTGTCCCTATCCTCCTCTCTGCCACTAATTAGTTAATGCATGACCAAATATTTACTGCTGACTTGGCCAGAACGGGAGGGATCCATTGGATAACAGAATTCTAAAGGCAGCCAGCACTCAGGCAAATTCAATTTCTATTGAACTGTTTAATCATTGATTTGCTTCGTTTAATAGAACCAAATTGATTGGATTAAAATGAGATGGCTTGGTCAATAGTAAAGAGACAATTTCTATATGCAGGTTGCAATTTAATTATAGGATTGAATCGAAAGTCCATCATAACTAAGCTTAAAAAAGTAGCATTCTCTAAATAAATATTTATTGATACTTTTATGTGAAAATTTTCCAGACAAATCAATACTTAAAAATCTCATAACTAAGTCAAAAAAGCATTAATTTTAATATGGAAAGCTTTCCTAGGTTAGTTTTTATTAGGTTTATAAATCTGGATACTCAATTTAAAATGTACAATTTTACAAAATTTTGATCATTTTAACGATGTAACCCCTTATAATATTTTGAAAATTTTGAAAAAATTTGATAAATTTATTTTTCCTCTGGAGATAGCTAGATCGATTCGGCTTTTAATGCTTATCAAGAATATATATGTTTTATAGGGTCGGAAATGACTCCTTCACTTATTAAAAAGCTTCTGACTAAAATTATAGCACCTTGCAGGGGTATATTAATAGTTTTCAAAAATACTTAAACATTACCGGAATATACATATTTGAATAATTACGTATTTCCTCCACAAACCAAGCTTAATCGTTTAAAATTTAGCTCAGACAATAAATACAGATAATTAACTATAAGTTTTGAAACATAAGTAAGCTGTTGCAACAGCAAATCGAATCATAAATTCCAGTTCTTGTTACCAACTAATTAGTTAATGCGTAGACCACAAAACATTTAGTAGGAACATTTAGCAGGGACAGGGGTTCTTCTAATAGACCAACTCCACCCTATGTGTCCTATGCTCATATTTAGTGCGGTTTATTTATGTTTGTTGCATGTCCTCCAACTGGTTTCAGGTGGCGTGCCCCATTATCATCCCAATCCCTCTCCGAATCCAAATCGGAATCCGATGTGTATGTGTAGCGGTGTGTGAATTGTTTCCCATTGGCTGAACATATGCCCAGTGCCACGCTTATCTGCGATGCTGATTAACTGATTTATATGGCTGGTCATTGCTTATGCATTGATCACCGTATTTTGTTTTTTTGGTTTATCTGTCTGATGGACTGGGCCCGAAATCGGTTTTGGAATTAGAATAACCGAATCCAGTTACTATTACAATTGACCCGTGACACATGCGACACTTTAGTGTCTGGTTTTTCGGGGTAATTTCCAAGCCTCAAATGACTTATTTTGTTTCAATTATATAGTAATTATATAGCAATTAGCTTTACCTTTTGCCGGCCTCTGTATTTTTTTTTGTATTTACCTTTGCCGTAATGGTAGAGGACAGTGCCTAGCACGTAATGCCCATGTGATGCTGACGAATCAGGTGCATATATGCCATGGAAATACAGTACGGTACAGTAAAGTCAAGCAATTAGGTAAATATATATATTTAAAATTAAATGTCTACATTTAAAAGGTAGCTTTCATTGTTGGTTTATTGTTTTCTGTATTGAAATACTGCTCAAATACGGTTAAGAAGCTGAAGAAAATGATTAATAATAATAATATTCAACATATAAATTATTTTGAACTATTGAATTGACAAATCTTAAAAAATTATCTATAACTATACATAATCATAACTATGGATATCCTTAACTGACCATGGTTTTATTCCCATCAAAAGTGATTCCCTAAGAACATATATTTCTAACAAGCACTGTCCCTTGCTATATATAGACGCCAATAACTGAACAAATCGGACCTGCTTGACTGCCCTGCTTACACTTACGTGCATTTAATTGTTGTCCCAATTATTGCATTACCCAGAGATATACCCAACCGATAAATTCGTATTTATTTTATTGTTTGCAATTGTGGCAAATTGATAACGAAAAGAGTCAAATCAGAGAGACCCTGGCAAGGTGCAGCGGAAACGGATGCGAGGCTTATGACAAAAGCCTAATGGGGTCCATCATTTGCAGTTTGCTTGGCCAAATTAATGGCCGGTTAACACGCGTTCGTTTGGGAGTTTTCCCGGGCAGAATTACGGCTTTGCTGGTCATTGCTGGAAAACAAAAGACTTAGGCAACGAACTGTGTTCTTGTGGCACCTCACCGAAAAAGAAGAAAAAACCAGCAAAACACTCGAATAACAACAACGGCGGTATGAACATGCCATTTCACGCCTCCAAACAACTCATAATTCATGCGTTCAATGGCCAGCAACAAATGCTGCATAACAAATGACCAACATAGGCACTGAGAATATTGGTATATTTGAGGGAAACCAAGGCACGTTTCTTGTGTACCGAAGACGCATCGAAATTTAAAGAGCAATTCATAAGCATAAATGGCCATTATAGAGACATCATTTGGCTGGCCGGGCCCATAGCTGCTTATTGGATTTATTACCAAACCAATTTCGATTTTTCTGTCCACTCATCTGGCAGCAATTAATCATCGCAGAAGCCTTCAGTTACCGTTCCTCAATTAGAATCGATTTTTTTTTGTTTTCTGTATTTTTATGTATATTTTTTTTCTTCATAAATTATTTTTATTTATTTTGTGATTTTTTATGGATTTTTCTGGTGATTGCCATTAAATTTAATACAATTTTCCATTTGTTTTTTCTTGTTTGCTTTGATTTTAAATAAACATTACATTTGCTTTGATTTATATATATTCAACTATCAATATGGCCAAATTACAATACATTTATCGTTTACACTTAGCACATAATACATCATCATATTTATATTTATATATTTATCCGTATCGTATTCTGTTTATACCTCAGACATAAATTAGGTTTAGGACTAAACTGGCTTTATACACACAACTTAGGGGGTTAAGATTTAATATTTAGTTGGATTTTTTCCTTTTTTTGCGCGTTTTTTCTACTTTTGTTATCACTTAAATTATACAAAAATTGCTAACAAATGTATTTTACAAATTGCCTTTAACATTTAATTTAATTAAATTTATTATATTACGTTTAGATCTTAGATATTTTAGTGTGTAGGTGTGTATATTTTTAAGACTTAGGTATTAACATTGAACATTTAAGTTTTGTTTGTGTGTGTGTTTATAGTTTTTAAGTTTAAAAAGTTGACGGCGGCCTTTGCATTTAATCATAAACATTTCCTTGTTATCCTTAGCATTTCTGTTAAATTTATTTTACAACTGCCAGTGGCGCGCCATAGTGAAATCGTATAAATTTATATTTATATTTATATATATAGATTTTATATTTTTGTTTATCACGTCTGTTTTGTTTAGAGTCTAAGAATTTAACTAGTTTACATTAGGCATATGCTCTAAAGTGTCTGTGCAATTTTTAATTGCATTTTGCGAATTAGGATAAACATCTCAAGCAACTTTTCTTATTCCTAAGATTTTTAGTTTTATAATTATTTTACAAAAAATGTTTACTTTTGGACGTGCATTGTAACTGTTTCTTGTTTTGTTTTGTTTTGTTTCTTTTTTTCGTTTATTGTATATTATAATTTTTAGTTCTCTGTGTGCTTGCTTCTGGCTTTCGTTTATATGTACACAATAAATATTTATGAAATTTCCTCCCGTTCTGTTTTTATGGCAGTTCAAATAAAGCACGCTTAAATACGCTGAATTTGCGGCGAGAAATTAAATTAATTAAGCGAAATATGAAACACAAGGAAACAAAAAAAGAAGAAAAGAGAACTATACAAACACTCACAGAAAAGCCGTAAAAGAAAAATTAAATAAAAATAATGTGCAGCCCTTTAATTAGTTTTAATGGGGCTTTTGTTATTGCTGCTATATATACACTCTCCGCAGCAGCAACAGCAACAGCAACAGCAGCGACAAAGCTTAAATAATTAAAAATTGCACGCAATGTTTACAATTAGGAATAGCCAGCTATCGTCCAGCTGGCACACACCACCCCCGCACACCATTTATACACACACAAACACACAGAGAGTGTGTGTGGATGTCAAGGGCTCGGTGTGCCACTGTCAATCGCTGGCCAAGGAGTCCTCAGTTTGGCATTGTGTTTTATCTGGTTTCGGTTGGATTTGCTTTGCCTCGATTTATATACTTCACAAATCGATCGATTTGAGCGTGGGCAAATCACGGCTTTAGCTGAACAGATTGTTGTTCAAGTTATTCCCGCTCCATCACGTGTAGTCAGTGCGCCAGGTGCCCTGCGGGAAGAAAGCGGAGAAAGGACCAGGTGAAAACGTTAGTAAGGAATTTTTATAGTTTGGATACTTTAAAAGTTTGCACAAAGAAAAATGTTGAATCTCTTAAAATTGGTTTGAAATAGCACTCAAAAGGTGCTTAAAATATTCATTCAAGTTGTACTTATTTCATAAACCTATCGTTTTCATTAGAATTACCTTTAAAATCAAATCAAAACCTTTTAAAATAACAACTTTTCTAATAGGTAACTTGTTAAATTCATTTGAAAAATTTTATTCATTATTTTCCCTCTCAAATCCCCTTTAATTTTTCTCTGTGCATGAAAAGCTTTCGCCAGAAAGCTACTCCTGTCTAGAAAGTTCTCATTTACTCACCATTGAACTGAGACCCAAGTGGTAAGGCTGCGAGTGCGGCACCACCGCTCCACCGAGAGAGCCGGCGGTGGAGAAGCCGCCCTGCAGGCCACTGGAGGCGCCCAGAGCTCCCATGCCGCCGGTATACCAGCTGCCGTGCATGTGCGCATGTGCCGGATGCAGTCCGCTCGAGAGGTGTCCATGTTGCGCTACAAGGAGAGAGCAGGAATGCGAAAATAAATAAGGGAGAGCGTTAGTTGGAGTGACGGGCATTTAATTGGAGCTGGGGGAGAGATTATAGGAGTTGGATGTAGATGGAGATGCTTACCCATGGAGGCCGAGAAGCCGCCGCCAAAGCCCTTGGAGGGATCCAGTGGCTTGAAGTCACCCATGCCCAGGTGTCCACCGATGGGCAGACAGCCGCCGCCCAAGCCCTTCTTCTTCTTGGACTTGGAGCTCAGCTTGCGGTTACGCGTTTGAATGCCCTCCTTTTTCATTGTGAGCGGACGATTGACCTGGAAAATATACAAAAGAAAATGTTTATTATTCGAGAGGTGAAAATGTAAAAAATTAGGGAAATTTAAGTTATAGTTCTCCCTTTCAAATTAACTGTATCAGAAGCTTTTAATAGTTATTATTTTATAGTTACTGACCTTTGCTTTTCTCATAGTGTAGGGGGAAAATCAATAAAGTAAAAGCGGCCAAAAAAGAGGGCTAAAAACGTCAGTGTCTGACCACTAAAATGGGTCAAATTTATGCAAATTCATGGACCGGAAATGCCGCTAGCTGCACACACTGTCTGTGTGAGACAGGGGTGGTATATATGTAGCACATAAGAGTGCACATCGGGTGTGTGTGTGTGAGTGAGTGCAACCGGGAAGTGAAAATGAAGTATTACAAGCATTTCTACACGATCAGATAAGCGACATTTGCGAATGCGATTAGTTGGCGCTGATAGCGCTCTCCCAACGTTATTTTTTTCCATGTATTTTCACTTGAAGCGTTTGTTGGTGCGGTGCTGCTGCTGCTGCTGCTGCTGCTGCTGCTGCTGCTGTTCCCTATGCCATTGTTGCCGCGACGGGACTCTCTTCATATGCAATTCCCTATCACTTGCGAACATCTAAGCGGCAGCATGCGCTTCATTGCGCTACAATTACAATATTGGGTTACCCATTCCCAGCAGCGACATTAAAGCAACAAAAGCAGGAATAGCAAGAAAAAAAGGGTCTCCGGGGTAGCCAGAAATGTTACATTAAAGTACAAAAGCGAATGAGGAGGACTTTAGGCTACCTGGGCGTGAATTACGACATTGTTTGGTGCGCCTTTGCAAACACAGAAATTGCTAAATTGCCGGCAATCCCAATGCCAGGCAATGCTTTGAAGAGCCGAGAAGAGATTTTTGGTCGTGAGGGTTGCTGTTGCTTTTATTCCAAAACATATCACTTACACTGAGAAACCCCTGGCCAGATCACTTAGCCGGGGAGGATCTCCCGGGCAGCCCACGTAATTGATATTCTCTGTAGCGTTTAGCACAAATTGCGGCAATTAGCAACTCAACGGCAGCGGCAGTGGCAGCTGTGGATTGTGCATCTTGAGCTTTAATTGATATGCAGCAACAAAGCATAAAGTTGTTAATGCCCAGGCCCAGCTCATTAGGGAATTCAGAGGAAAAGCCCCAAGGGGAGCACAGCATCTTTAAGATAGCACTTTTTATGCATAAAATCTAAATCGAGCGTGGAGCGAACACGCGCCGATGCAGCTGACTGGCAACTTGACAGCCCGCCGAGGAGGAAAATCGGGGCAGTGCAACAGGCCACCCACAGATACTATATGTTTATGGATATAGCTTAGATCTGATGGAAAGAGAGAGAGAGCGAGAAAATCCAGGCGACAGGAAGACGGCGCCAGAGACCGTTAGGTCATTTTTATTGGTTTTTATTATACTTTTTCCTAACCATTGTCACGCCACAGGACATTCTTTTCTAGGATAACGCACAGCAGGTTTCCAGCCTGAGACAGGATCCAGAATTGTCTCATTTTGCTGTTAATTAACATGCTGATTCTCCCAGAGATATTCGATTTCAAGGAATTGCCGAGCAGACACGCGCAGATGCCAGAAGATATCAGATTGGAGATCTAGCAAGTGCATATCAAGAAATGAGGAAAAACACCGATTGAAGGCATTTGTTGTGTTGCTCAGATAACAGTGGTGATTAATATTGAGAAAATTAAATACTAAAAAGACCATAAAGAAATAAATACATGTTTAGAAAACCAGGGGAACAGGTATCGTAGTGCTAATGATCTCAAAAATAAATGACTATTTTAAGTCTCGATCATTATATCATTTTGTTTATATAAAAAGGTTTTCATGACAAAATGCTTATCAAATCCGTTGTAAAATTTATCTCTATATATTAAAAGATATAATAATTAAAGCAGTAGTCTTTAGTTAGTCCCCACTGTGCTGCATCAAGTGCTTGCAACATTTCCATAAAATGTGCCAATCACTTCGCTTAGAGGCCCACACAGGCGGCAGATCCAAATGACAAACGAATTGAATTGAAATGAACTGCAAGCCAAAACCAAATACGTACAAAAGACCAGGAGAAAGGGGTACAAAAAGAGATAGAAATACAGAAAATGAAAGAGAGCGGTGTACCGGCCCAGACCGAGATGGCAATGGAAAAAAATGCGCGCTGATTGGCATCTTATCGAGATGGGCCACTGTCCAATTGAAGGAAAATGTTTTGCAAAAATATATTTCGCCTGTGTGCGGTGGCCAAGCCACCCAAGAGTGCATTTTCTCGTGTGTCGGAAAAGTTTTTACTTTGTGCAAATCAGATTAGAGAAAATAGAGCAACTTGCCAGAGTGTGTGTGTGCCTTTGATATTTGCCTTTTATGGACGGGCTCAATTAAAAATATTTCGCCTTTTGCCGTTTTGCGATAGCCATCGAAATGCAGCAAGTGGCGGCCGCAACTTAATTAGTTTGCCACAGTGCACAGTGGGGCCAGCCAGACAGGTGGCCCATCACTTAAGGGCCACTGACATGTAAATGTGCCAAAAGTTCAGCCGCAAAACTCATTAAAACTTGACTGCAGGCCATGGCACAGAATAAAAAAAAAACACACAAAAAACAAACCCCAAGGAAGGAAGGCCAAAAACACACTCTCACACACAAAAAAAGGAAGTCAAGTTGGGGGGAAAAACTTCAAGCTTATCCCGTGAAAAGCGTGGCTAATGAATATTTAATAAGAGATTTTTGGAGAGGGTCCGCTCTACATTTAACATTATTCAATTCAATGCATTTCGCCGGGTAGTCGATTACATAAATTAACTCAACGAAGGGGGGAAAAAAAGGGGGAAGATCTAGCCAGCATCCTGCCACGCGTTGCCCATAACTGGAAATCAGGGGAAAGCTTATCGCATTTTCACAGCCAAACACCAAACACCAAACAGCAGACGCTTATCGCAGCGATGGTAAATGGTGGGTGGTGGCTGGCTGGCTGGCTGGCTAACTGGCATCTTTAAATAATCATCAGGCATTCATCATCACGAGGGTAACCTGCTGCGGCAACAAATGGAGAAGCTAAACGGCAGTCAACCACCCGGGGGTCACCCCCCGGGAAAAGCGGAAAACGGAAACGGAGGGGGACTGCTTCAGCAGACACTTCATTTTTGTCACATTTAATCCGAAAGCGTGCTGCGCTTCCTGTCCGACAGAAAGAAGTGTCCGTTTCTTATGTTAAATGTGGCATTAAATCGCGGGAATCGAAAATCGATGCCCTTGGGAGACGGGGCTAATAGTTCCGTTGACCAATGGACCTGATCTACACTTGGAAAAAGGGATGTACTTAGAGTAATGTAAGTTGTGGAAAAGGGAGTTTCCTCTAGATCTCTGAACTTTATAAGCTTGTTTAGTACAAGTTCTTTTATAAGTTTTGATTCTTCCTTGAATAGTATTCTGTATAGTGTAATATATATTTGAAATAACTTACATTGTGCAGCTTGTAGTACAATCCGCAGGCATTGCAGACGGGTTCGCCGCTGGCATTGCGTCGCCAAAGGGTTGTGGTTGTGGTCTTGCAGTTGGCGCAGGATGTGCCCGCCCTCTTGGCCGCACTCTGCAGCGATTGGAGGGTCTGAAAAAGGACATAAATTAATAGAAAAAGGGTTAGATTATAGATATATGTGTGTCTTATAAACCTCAAATTGATTATGCTAATCCACATCGATCGGCTAATTGAACAGCGCCAAAACTAACGCACTGAAGTCCGCCTTCAAAAGCCAAGAATTTCTTGGCCTTATTTTCCCCACAAAACCTCCTTCAAAAACAAAGTTGCTTAACACACGGGACAACAACATTTTTTAAATGGCATACCAACAAAATAACAAAAAAAAAAATGGAAAAAATAAAGAAAAGAAAACAAACCCCAGAGCTGTGGAGACTTGAGGCGACTCTGGCTGTGTCTGCCTTGCGTTCGACTTGGGTTAACAGCAGCATCAATTCATTAAAATGACAATTTTTACAAAACTGCCCAAAAACAACAGAGGCAGCAACAACAGCAACAAGCGGGGATCATGTCTGTGCCACGCTTAAATTTCCACGAATTGGCTACAAGAACCAAGAATCGAGGCAACGGGCATGGGAGGAGACACCAGAATTCGAGCTACAGAGAACCAAGAATCGAGATTGGAGGAGAATCGGGCTGAATCGAGAGCCCAAAAAGCCCAGAGATGCTGTATCCCCCACTCCCTCCTGCGTCTTGGATCCATGTCTGCAGTACAGACTTTGTCTGCGTTTTGGTCTTCGTTATGGCATGCTCCCCTCCATGGGTGCCCCCTTCAATAAGCACTGCAAGAAACTTTGTATTTGATGTTCTAAACCATATATTAATTTGCTGATTTAAAAGGTTTTATCGGGCTTAATTTAAATTTGATTCATTTGGAGATTAGAATATATCTTTCTACCAATATAAAAACCCGTGATTTCTTTCAGTGCTGCCTTCCAGTTTGGCTTGTTCATGCTGCTGGTACAACACATGGCTACGAGGCCTTAAACTGGCGTTGATCATGTTTGACTTTGATTTTTAATTGTTGCCTCTGCCACAAGGGAATCGCCTTCGTCTTTGAGTTGGACTCGGAGTTCGATCTGCTCCGATCCGATCTCGATTCCGATCTCTCGTACACAGCTTCGCTCTGCACTGTGTGTCTCACCTGTTCCCGATTTGGCGATTAACATAAATCAGAGGTCATATGGCAAGGGAGTTGGAGCTGTATCTGTAGCTGGAACTTTTGGCCAGTGTCTGCATTTTTATTTTTTTTTTTGGTGGCACTGTCTTGTGTTAACGAGCTTGTAACAATTTCTGCAGACAGCGACCAAATGCGAAAAGTGAGAAATTCAAAATTAATTTCAACGCCTACGAGATGGACGAAGGAGGGATTCCGACTTGCGGAGAGATGTGATGTGGTGGAGATAAACTGGAAGTTTTGTGGTAATTATGCTGCAGTCGTTTTGCCTTGGCCAAAATGCTTAAGCGTATATAAATTAAGTTGTTAACATGACAATGCAACAAAACAGTCCACAAAGAGACACAGAGAGAGAGAGGTACGAAACAGGATCAGGATTTCGCAATCGACATTCCATTTCCAGTCAATCCAGTGGGTGTTGTTCAACTCCTGTTTGTTGATGACAGAAGCCAGACGATGAATATTAAAACGATATTTAATCGAAGCTATCAAATAAAGAAATAATATTAATATTCCCAGAAAACCCATATTTCTTCTTCTACAATATAATATTATTACGATATTTTTGTCGATACATCATTTCGGTTTTCTCCGCTCCAAAGTGTCACTTCGATTCTGCTAACTGACATAACATAAAGTACAGTAAATACAACAATCACGGGCCCAGCAATCAAACAGCAAATCACATAAATCAATGTCAGTGCGATGCAATGCAAAGAGCGAGCGAGAGGCCAAGCGGATAGAGCGAGAGATGGCATAATTGCGGGGGTGATGGGAAAATTGACAAACTGTCAGACATTGACAGGCGTTTGGGGTTTAATTGAAATGCAAAAAGCGCAAGCGCCAAAACAACAACAGCAGCAACAGTAAACACACAAAACAAGATGGCGCTTGCGATTAATAAACAAAAGCAAAAGTCACATAAGAAATGTTTTTGGTACGCTGCACACAACACAATAAAATCAGGCAAACAGAAGCACTTTAAGTAATAGAATTTAAAATTTCAGTTTTATGATTTTCAAATAAAAACATCGTAAATATTATCAACAATATTTAAACACCTTTTTTTGGTGGGCCAAGGTAGTAATTAAATGTATCTTTAGTAAGTGATGAAGCGACTTAAATCAATATAAATATTTACTCGAAGATTATGAATATTTTTATTAATTTCCTCGAAAGTATACATTAACAAAGTTTTCATAATTTAATAATAATACAACGAACTAGAATCATAAAATCTCTTAGCAAAGAAAATATAACTTAACTTTACATTGCTACTATTTTGACCTCAATGTTTTTCCTTTATAGTTTTCAGTGTTTTGTGACCGTAAATTGTGATTTATCAATGCATGACAAAATGCGTTTGCATTATTGTTGCGCTTTGCATTTGCCGTCTCTTTTGCTGCCCATATATCTCTCTCTTTCATTCCTTTGTGTGGGCAACACATTTGACACCTTTTGCTGTGCTTTACCTGATTTATATGTATATATATATATTTTTTTTGTTTTGAAAAGCAAAAGAAAACAACAAACAAACCGAAGTTTTTATACTCTCTCAGTTTGCAATTAAATTTAAAAATCAAATGGGAACTTTAAATCAATAGTTATTTTTATATGCCATTTTTTTTATATATAAAAATTTAAAAAGTTCATAAATAAGTCAAAAAAGCATTAATTTTAATTTAGAAACCGTTTCTATGCTAGTTTTTATTAGGTTAATAAATCTGCATACTCAATTTAAAATTTTAGAAAATTAAAATTTTTGTCAATTTTTGACAATTTTAATGATGTAACCCCTTTTAAAATTTTCAGTTTTGAAAAAATTTTAAAAAAATTATTTTTTAGCCGGAGATGTCTAGATCGATTTGGTTGTTTATGCTGATCAATAATATATATGATTTATAGGGTCGCAAACGACTCCTTCACCGTGTTATAACCTTTGCAAGGGCGTAAAAAGCTCACAAAATGGTCGACCCATCTTCGTCTTACTTTTCTTATCTTTGGGATTTTCTTTTATTTTTTCACCTTTTTTCCTTTTTGCTTCTCATATTTCTGTTTGGCTTTTGTTGTGTTATGCAAATTTCGTTTTCATTTCACACACAAACATACAAAACAGACAAGACAACACACAGGCATTTAAATATTTAATTGTAAGTGAAACACAGAGAAAAGCATTTTCTAAAGGCCAGAGTAAATATGTACCAAGTAAATAGATTTTCCCCCCATCTACACTGCTATTTATTGCGCAGCTTTTGTGCGCTCTCTTTTTGAGTCGTTCAGTGGCAATGCCCTTTGCCATCTGAGATACGTCAAGATGCTAGAGGGAGGGGGGAAATTGTGGGGGGAAAATGGACAGGGGGGCAGTATTCGCAGCCGTATCTCAGTGTAACATCTTTCACTTGGGGCGTCTCTTTTCCTCTGCAGAGGACATTTTATCAACTTGGTTTTTTTTTAGTATCTCTTCCTCTGCCTCTCCCAGCATCTCTGTATCTCTATCTGTATCTGCAACTATGTGTGTGTGTGTGTGTGTGTGTTATCTAACAAAACATTCATTAAATTTTTCCCTGCTTCTACTACCCTTAACTTGGCTCACAGCGCATGGCCGCCCCCTCATTTTGGGGGTTGTTTTGGAGCCACCCACCAACCCACCTCCTCTAGCGTATATATATATGAATGTATATAAAGTGTATCAAGGGAAGATGGCTAAAGATAGCGGGCAGAAAATTTCTATATCTGATGCTGTGTGCCAAAAAGGGGGGAAAAATGGGGTTTGTTGAGCTTGTGTCTGGGCACATAACAGTTACATTTGAAAGAGCCCGGTAAATGTACATACGTATCTCTCTCTCTCTCGGGGAAATGTAATTTAAAAATTCAAATTTTATTTCCTTCTTCCTTCACTCTGAGAATTCTCCTTTTAGTTTTCTTCAACGTCCTGTTTTTATTTTCCTGCAGCTGGCATGGGGTATGGGGCGTGACTCAATTCGGTTTTGTGGGTCTCTTCGGCTTTCCCTGCAGCTAATTTGACTAATTAAAACATCAGCTTAACTCATTTCCATGCTCAAGCTGCGACCTGGCACGAAACTGTTGCTAAAAATCACACCTGCCCCTGCAGAGTGCTTTGCTGTTGTTGGTTATAAAAAATCAATAAAATGTTATATGGCCAGCAAACAGAACAAGCCATTAATGTCGCTCATTAATGCTGCTCAATGAATTTTACGAGCCGTCCGGCCCAGGAATACTGGTGAGGGTTAAAGCCGTTGAAGGCTCTCTTTTGGGTTGAAATTGTCGCTCGAAAATGCTAAAATGTCATTGGGCCTTTGTTGTGCATTTTAAATAGAATATGTTAGTGGCTACCAGAGCTTGACCCTAAGTGAGAGAGAAATTTTGGGGGAATTTCAGGTAAGCTTTTAAACAGAAATGATTATTTTAAAGCGATCTATTAGGTCACCAAATACTTTTACAATTTAATTGAGAAAACATTTGCAATCCCTCTTTAAGATAAACAATTCATTATTTTTCTAGTCCAAGCAAAGTAATATAATTTCCCCTATAGCAACCAAATAATCCAAGTATTTTCTGCAAGTGCACTGACTTGCATATAGTTGCAATAGATAGACAACTCTCCCTAAAACCCTTTTCTCCTTTCCATAGCTACCCTAGGAAGGCATGAAAATCGTCATTAATATTTGTCACTGGCCAGTGGCCATTGAATGGGGCCAGCGAAAAGCTAAATAAATTATGGAACTGGCCACGAGGCAAGGTGGAGCTGGACTTGGCCAAAATGAATGTGCGCTAAACACGCTCACAAATGCGTGTTCGTTGTCTGTAAACGGAAAAAAGGGTTAGAAAATGCACAAGCAACCCTTTTGTGGCGGGGGTGCTACAAAGTAAGTGTATAACCTGTGCAAAATTATGCATTTGCATATTAAACAGTCACCATAAATTTTCGTTTTAGCCACAAAAAGCGAAAGCAGATCGAAAGCCGCAGAATTCCCGCTTAACAAGCTTACGAAAAAAATAAATATATATGTATAAAATACAAAATATAAAAGCCAACTTGATATAAAGAGAAACAAAAAAAAAAGACAAAAAGTGGCCAAGACAAAGGGCTGGCTTGGCCTTAATCATCTGGCGGCGGGGCAACCCTTTGGCTGAGGCAATGTTTGAGCCTTCGTTTGAGCCCTCTTTCATTATTATTATTGGCACGCCCCGTTTTTGCTGCGTTGCGTTACGTTGCGCTTCGTATCGTTAATTTTTAATTGATCTGCGTTGCAGCATTCTTCGCCTCTCCTCCATTTTTCGCATCGATCAGGCTCGTCAGCATCATCCTTTGTGCCCCAAGTGCATTTTAATAACATTAGGCCCCCACTTAACAAGATCCTAGCGCCCCAAATACAAAATAACCGAAAAAAACAAGCTTAATGCTCGCGATTGCGTATACGCCCCGTTTGACGGAGTAACGTACATTGAACCTTTTACTCTTTTCTCCTTTTTTTTTTTGTTGTGTTGTTTTTTATTTTTTGTTGTGATCATATTGTGGCTGTTCCTTGTTCGATCTGCAATCTGCTTTAGTTTTGATTTGGCTGATTTTCGATCGCCTCTGCCAGCCCTTGTGCATTTAATTTTTTAGCGTCACAGCCTACAATCGGTTTCGATTTTCCCACGGGGAACCCGTGGAGGAGATGCCACAGATGGCCCAAAAAAAAATCAAAATGTGTTAATTAGTTTTTCCGCTCTCTTCTCGCTTCTCTCTCTCTCTCTCTATCTCTCTTGTTTGCTGGCTGCGTTGGCCCGCTGCGATCGTTTAAGCCTGGTTTATGGCTGTTGAGTTGTTAGCGTTGAAATACGCCCGCGGATTAATAATTAATTAAGCCTCGCTCTCCGAATGCATTTATAAACGATTGTGTCAAGTGTTGATGGGTTTATTGTTCGGCGGCAGTTTAACTATTTAACTATTTAACTATTTCCAAATGGCAATAGCAATCGCGAGCTTTTCTTGGTAACACACAATGCCGCATGCAAATGTGACATAAGCCAACGTAATAAGCGTAAGAATAAATAATTTCAAAGTTTGTTTTAGCTGCTTTTCTGTGTGTGTGTGTGTTTTTTTTGTAACCATGACGTGGCCGTCGTTTTGTTCAATTTACTGTGTGAAAATTCGCATAACTTAAGCTGGCAGCAACTGAGGCATAAATATTATGCAAAATGCAAGCGCCGAGTCTCGCCTCTTTTCCCCTTGGCCCCACCTCACCTGCCCTCCTCCTCACCTGCTGATTATATAAGTCACGATCGGTGAGATGAGCAGCTGCCTGTTGACTGCGATTGACCCCAGCTAAAGTTGTGTGTTCTTTGCGGATTTGCGGCTTTTAACATGGATTGGCAATTAGCTATAGACATTCAAAGTATCTATGGACACAGCGTTTCGAATGTTATAGTGGTGAATAATTAACAGTTGAGGTAATAAAGATACCGATTGTTAGGTAAATATTACAAGAGTTGAACTACGAAAATAGAAAACCCTAACCTATTTGTAACCTTTAAGGGTGAATAACTATTTTTATCTAGAACTGCATTTTATTTAGAGCTCCATTTCCTACTTTATCTGCCTTTACAGTTGCGTTCTGCACTGTTTATCGAATGTGACAAATGCCATTCAAGGCTGGAACTAAAAGGCTTGTCTGTATTGGCAGCCTGGCGGCTAAAAGGCGCAAGAAAATAACAAAACGAAACCTTAACGCTTTTAAAAAGTTTTCGGGCCTTATAATTAAATGCAATTATTGCGATGCCAGCGGGCTGCTTAGCTTCAGTTCAGTTCAGGTTCAGCTTGGAAAACAAAGGAGCAGAACAACAGCGAAACAACTGGAAAACATATGTAAGCTGAAATGCTGAAAACTGAAACCGAAACCGAAACCGAAACTTTGTTGCAGGCTAAAATACATAAATTAAAAATTTGCATTGTTCTGTTCGCGAGAGGAGTCAGAGGCACAGGCACAGGCACTGAAATTTTTGCAGTGTTTTGCGCTGCAAGAATAACGACTTGTTGACTGTTTTCATACGATTCGGGAGATTTAATTAAAGGCGGCCCCAAAGCAGACAATGAGGTCTTTTCGCTGCAGGTGCAGAGCGGCATCTCAACTCAACTCGACTCGAGCCCAGACTGGTTCGTCGTATGCAAAGCCAGAACTTGACCCTCACCGATGGACGGAGGAGCACTGAAATCAATACAATTGCCACCCAAAGAGTTGGACTTGGAGTCCGAGATTTCAATGGTCAGACCCGGGGGCCAGTTGGTTTCGAGTGAACAATTGAATTGCATTTCAAGCAGCAAGCCAATGCTAAGGACATTTGATGTTGATGGGCAGCCGCATCCTGTGAGAGAGCGAGGATTTGGCGAGACAGGCCCATAAGTCAGCTGAGTGCCACATAAATTTTAATTTGTTGCATATTTTGTCAACGGCAACGAAATCCTGAACTCCAGCTGTGAATTTCTTGGGAATTCCCTACGTCAGCGGGGAATAGCGGGGATAATAATGGTTTATTTATGTTAATGTTATGCAATCAAAACGCATACGATTTAAATGCCAATAAAAAATCAACGCCGAGAGTCGAGAGTCGAGAGACGAAAGCTGAGAGGCATCGTTTAACAGTTTGTTTGTGCCTGTTGTTTTGGTTGTTGCCTGCCTTTTTACGCATCTTTAATAGACCAATTTTTCGTGTGGTTACCTCTGCCCTGACTCTTTCGCGTTCGTTGCCTGAGTCTTTCGTTTGCCTGGCGCCACAGAGCACGAAGAAGAAGAACCACTGAAGGTTACATATATTTTCATAGTTTGTTGATGATCCAGCTCGATAAAGCGTGGCCCCTAACCCACACACTCACACACACACTCTCTTGGTGGCTGCTGTCTGATTATGTTTTTAGTGCGCTAAGTGATAATGATGATGCACCTCGATCGTTATCGTGGCCAGCATCCAAATCGAAAGCATTTTTCCCATACCACATAGCCTCCAATCAAGCGTGGAGAAGAGTTTCTGTTTCCCGGAATCGTATTATGACATTTGAGAACTTTCACGCTGCTTTTTATGGCCTTTGGCGACAGTAACGTGGCCCGGGATTGATGCTCATATGCAGCGATTTCCCAGGAAAATCCCCAGCAAGCCAAACCCCGCCCCAATACAGTTGCTGAATTTATTAGTTAATTTGATCGAATGTGTGGATGTTTAGCCCAGCGGGTCGTATAAATATAGTATCTGTTATTATCCAGTATTTGCTTACCAGTCTTCGCTTTGGCTTAATCAGGGGACGGTTCTGGCCGTTCATCTTGTAGTACAGGCCACAGGCATTGCACAGATAGTGTCCCGTACCGTCGCGTCGCCACAGTGGCGTCGATGTGGCGCCACAATTAACACACTCGCGTCCCTCTGCAAGTAATGAACAAAATTATAATTTAAATAAAAAATTGCAACAGATTTGGGACATTTTACATTTAGAAATATATAGAAAATGTTTACAATTAGTTAGTTAGTTAGTTGGTGCAGTCAAAGCTCTCTTTGTTCAGAAACCATTTGGACTGACATTGTTATGACAATTAAATTCCTTTTAAGAATTAAATCTAAAATAAGTATTAACCGATGCAAAACTTAACTAGTATATTTAAATTACAATGTAAATACCTTTTTTTAATGTAACAATATAGAATTTTGTAAGTGAACGCAGTTTAAAGGAGAATACAGTTTTTGATTGTAGTTGTTATCTATCTGTAGGATAAAGTTTTAGCAGTATATATAAAGCTTAAAGAGTTTCTAGCTCAAACTATTTAATTAATTTTTTAATTTATGTTCTGTATAGGAATTTTTGACTGAGAAAACTTTGACTGCCACTCGAAGTTTCTCAGTGTGTTAATGACCATTAATGACGTAGGAAATGAGACCTGTAAAAATGGCTTAAATTAGGTATTATTTTTTTTCTGTGCCGCATTCTTTGCCAACTGGCGTTGTCAGAAGACTTTCTTGGGAGACTGTCTTCCGCACATTTGTATGGGTTAACCTTAAGCGCGCGACAACAACATGATACAAGCGGCAGCAGCAATGATGCACAGCAGCAGCAGCAGCAGCAGCAGCAGCAGCAGCAGCAACAAACAGCAACAACGACAGCAAAGAGCAACATTTTTCAGCTGTTTCCCAGTCATTTTGATGTCTTTTGTTTTTATGTGTGTGAGTGTGTGTTACTGGTTGTGTTGTATTCTTTTTTTTTTAAGTTTTTTCCTGCCTTCTTTATATTTTTTTTTGTATTTTTTTGGGTTGCTGGGCAAACGCATGGAAGCGGAAATGATGGATTCGCTGGGGTCGACTGTGTCTCCCTCTCTTTCGCCGGCCATCTACCCGTCTCTGTCGGGGCTTCGACATTGCCTTTTGCTGACTTTACACATTTTAATTAAGGCTCCGTTCTAGTGACTGCAGTTTGGCCTCTCTCTCGGCCCTCTACCCCTCGCTCAGAGGCTAACTGTAAGTCAGCCTCATTTGAATAAGTTTAGTCATAATTTGTAAGCCGAGTTGATTTGACCCGGAGGGGGCATCGCGGCAGCGGAGAGATGAAGTTGCAAATGTAACGCGTTATTAACGTTCCACATTACAGTTGCGTCTTCTGCCAACTCCAGGGTTTTCTCCACAGAGACGAAGTTGTGGTCTTCTGCGTACTCCCCCGACTTTTCCACAACTCATTTAATGACGCCACTAAATGGGCTTCATTATTTCGGTTTTTGTGTTCAGTCTTTGTTTTGTTTTTATGCTATTTACCGAGCGCTTGTTTTGAAATTGAAATTTAGTCATAAAGTCACTCCCCCAAAAACCCCCCATTAGCTATGCTAAAAAAAAAGAAAACCAAAAGATTTAACGCTACTTTCTGAGGGGAGGCCTTTGGCGTAATTAATTAAGCCAGCCTTTTTACATGGCCACATGAGCATAACTTTTTATTGAATATTAGCCACTGGCCTAAAGCCAAGCCCCGAAAAATATAAAAAAAGAAACAGTGAGGCGGTGTTTTTCGGATCTCATTAAGTGCGTCGCCTGCCGAAATGCCATTAGGGGAATTTCAGTTGCGTTTTGATGACAGAACTTGGCTTCACTTCACGTGATTTAGTTCACGCAGCTATTGTCACACGTGTCCTGCGGTGTCCTGTGGTGTCCTGTCTTTTTCGGCAGGCATTCCAAGCATTTTGTTCTTGAGCTTTCAGGGAAATTAAATAAAGCGCTCTGCGTGTTTTCCCCCATCCCCCCCCCAGCGTGTGGTCAAGTAATCTCTTTGGGTTCCTGTTTTTTTTCCTGGCCCCGGGCGCGTTAAATAAACAGTTCATTTGTTTTCATTTAATCGCAAGTTTTGCTCTGCTTTGCTTTACTATATGTTTTTTTGGTACTTTTTTGTTTTGGTTTTTATCGCACTTCTTTTAATTGCCGCCGCTGGGTGTGCTCTCGCTTTCTGCGTAAAAGTGCCGCCAATCAGTGGAGACAACACCCACTGAATTAAAATTGCATAAATTATGGCAACAAAGAAGTGTGGCAGAAAATTGTGTTTTATTTCTTGAGAAATTTGAAATTGAATTTTTTTATGTCCCCAGCTGCGAATTTCTCTGTGTCTGAGAGGAGAGTTGGCACAGTCATAAATTTTCACCTGCCCTATGTAACATATATATGGGGGTATTTCATGCATATTTATGCCGCGCATCTGTCTTCGGTTTGCACTTCCAACAGAAGCCGTTGAAAATTGAAAACTTTATGCATTTATTAGTTTGTCATAAAGCAGAACAACGGAAGGCCACCGTCGAGTCAACATTTAGCATAAAAGGAGGCACAGAGGCACCCCGTTCCCCCAAAGTCTAGCTGCATATTAAGCCATAAAGTGTGGCCTGGCTATTGTTGGAGCGGAATATTCTCCTTGGCTTTTGGTTTCGGTTTCGGCTTCCCGGGAAGTTGTGGTGGGGATGGAGCAATCCGCCATAGATAGGAATATCCAGTCGGCAGTTAATAAATCAAAGCTGTTAATGATGTTTTTACCCTACGTGCCCACTTTTGACAACACAAAAAAAGGCAGTGACAATTTTGGTAAGCAAGAAAAGTCGGGCTGCTGCGCACGCGCACTTGGAACCTCCTTTTCTTTCTTTTGGGTTTTACTACTTTTTGATACGACTTCTATTTATAGGGATCTCTGGCTCTCAGACTCTCTTTGTTTTACGGCCCTGCAGAGCATTTGTTTTTTATATACATATATATTTTCCCTCGCTTTTGTTTCGTTGCCTTCAATTTGCCTCTACTGTTGCGGTTGTCCCACCTCTCTGTTTTTATTTGTTATTTATTTTTATTTTCATTTCCCCGAGACACGTAGCAGGTTGGCCTATGATTTAGTAGCCTGCTTATAACTGTTTCTCCCCCTCCATTTACATCATCTTCTGTGGTCCAGGTTGAGGTTCAGTTTTAGGTTCAGTTTAAGGTTGAAGTTGAGGTCCAGGGCCCAATCATCTGGCTGTAATTTCCTGGAAATTTGTGCACACTTTGGTATTTTCATCTCGGCCGTTTTTTTTTTTTTTTTTTTTTTACGGTGTGACATTGTCTGGGGCCCATATAACCCAAAACCAAAAAAAGAAACACAAACCCAAAAAAACGAACCCAAAACTGAAACTGAAACCGAAACTGAACCTGTTTTTAGGGCCTGATTTGGCAGCCTCTTCTGGCCTCGACGACGCTGCTGCTGCTGTCCCGGGGTCTAAAGGTCCAACTAACTGTTGCTGCTTGATTTGACATTTGGCGTCAGTGGGCCATAATTGTCTAGAATTTATGTGTTGTACCTTTTTCTTGTTAATTTGCTGCTTGTCATGCATGTGGGCAGCCATAGAGAGAGGGAGATCCTGAGAATCTCTCCCACTCTTCTTCGTTTTTTAATTAGTTGTTTGGATTAATATACAGATTTATGGGCTGGTTAGGATAGTTAAGAGAGAGACGATTACAGGTGAGCAAGACAAAAGACACATGGATGTGTGAGTAAATAGTTGTTGTTTCGCTTGATTATCGAACACTTTTTTAATTGTTGTAAAAATATTTAAAAAATGATAATGCATAAGGTACGCAAAATGAAGAACAATTAAATTGAAATGAAACAGTATGAATAATTGGCACGCTCTTTCGATCGCAAAAAGGGGTTATAAATTGCATGGGTTAAGGAATGGGTTAAGGGGAATCGCAGGGGGAGTCGATGGTGAATGCCTTAAATAAATGGCAAGCGCCTCATTTTGAGGCCACAGCTGTCACAGCGAGGACAAAGGAACAATGCCTTTAAGCCCGCTCTTGCTCTGGCCTTAAGCCCTGATTGAGTGAAGTGAAGAGGATCGAGGGACTCCTCCGGATTCCAGATTCCATACATCCCGAATCCCGAATCCCGAGCTCCCCAGACGAAGGTTGCCACAGTCACAAGTCGCAAGTCGCAAGTCGCAAGTCGCGTACCCATATCAATTACTTAAAGCTCATTCACAACATTTTTTATTTTCACCTGACAAAAGCCCAAATGGCATCCAATCAATTCAATGGCCTGGCTGCATTCTCGCTCGATTCTCGATTCTTGGACTCGACGTTTTCTCAATTCTGAATTCTGAATTCTCCAGTCTGAGGTTTCTGGATTCTGCGGTGGCAACGAGCCACAAAAGCCACAACACATGTTCTTGCGCCCGAAAAACTTATCGCCGGCGATGCGATAAACGATAAATAAATACAGGCAACAAGATGCTGCCGGGACTAACGAAGGCAGACAATGTTTTTTCTCATCTCATCTCATCTCCCTGTTTTGCCTTGTGGTTGGTTAGTTAGGGAGTTAAAAAAAAAAATACACAAAACTGTCGCCGGGCCAAGAAAATGAAATAAAATAAAATCTGCCAGCGTTTTGTCAGGCGACTTCTCCCTCTTCTTTATATATTTTTTTTCTTGAGCTGCTTCCTCATTTTGTGTCCGGGGCCGTTATACAGTCATGATTATATGGCTCATACAGGTACGAATCTCGCCTCTATTTGCATTTAGTGGGTGCAGCTGGAAAGCAAGGTGTGCGCTCGGTGTGTTGTAATGAAACGTAACAAACGAACAATTGCATTTGGCGGCGGTGCGAAAAAGGTGCAAAAAGCACGGCGAGTGCCTCAACAATTTGCCCTTAACCGGAGGTTAGTTGCAAGTTCACAAAATGTAGTTGTGCTTGGGTTTTTTTTTTTAAATGATGCTTATAAAAATGTCTTGTAGAGTATACCATTTATGGAAGATGGCTAAGTTTGCTCATCTTTTGAAGAAGTTAAGTTAAGAAGTTAATATGTTTAAGTACAGACTAGGAGGAACTGCTGGCATTCTATTTGAGTTCAAAGTTACTGTCCAAAACTTATATATAATTACTGATACTGGTTGTTACTAATTTATCCCCTAACAGAAGTTAGACCGAAACTAACAGCTACAGGCTAATATAGCTACTACTCCGTTTAATATAGCTGATGTGACTAATGTGGCTGTTATGCTTTGAGCCAGCTGGTTTTCTTGGCTGGTTTACTTCTGGTTTTTGGGGGTTGGCTGTTTGGCTGTTTGGCTGTTAACTGTTGGCAGCAGAGCGACCCTCACGCATGGCCCGAGTGGCGGCTATAAAGATGTCGTTGTTGCTGATGTTGCTGTTGTTGCTGTTGCTTGTTTTTTTATATGCTGCTGCTGCTGCTGCCGGGCCATGCAAAAACGCAACGCTAAAGCAGGTGCAGCAGGCTGCAACTTCCGCAGCGAATGCGAATGAATGTGTGTGCTTGTTTGTGTGGTGGGTCTTTGCAACAGAGGCAGTGGCAGTGGCAGCAGCAACATGAAGTAATTAACAACCACAACAGCAACAGCAACAACAACAACAACAGCAACGGCAACATGAAGCGTTGACAATAGCATTGAAGTTGCTGCCGCAAAATGCAGCTATTGTTGTTGCCATTTGTTGTCATTGTAATGTTGTGATTTCATGGCGTATACGCAACGTTGGCGTAGCAATGTATAGGAAAGGGCTTCTCTTCGGCCCTGGGATCTTTCTGCATACATTTTAACGCGGGCAGGAAACATGCTCAAGTGGCGGGAATGTGGCCAGCATGCTGCTCCCGAGCACATGTCAAGTGCCGGAGCAGGAGTTAAGTGATGGAAGTTCGGTCGCGGATTCGGACTTCAACTCTTGAGCTCGAACACGGTCTTCCCACGTGAGCGTGTGAAAGAGCAGTGGCAATCAAAGTAAGCAAGGGGGACATGTGGGGGTTGGTTGGTGGTTGGTTGGATGGTTTGGTTGGCTTTCAAAATGATAACTACAAACTAAAGTGAAAACTAAACAATAAGTGGTTCACTTTGAGACTGTTTACAAGGGGTTATCTATGGTTTATCCATAAAATATAAGATTGAATTTTATTTTAATACATTGTTAAATTTTCTTGAATATTTAGATATATCTTTAGTTCTTTCAAAAACCTTGTAAACAGTCACATTGCACACAACACTGAGATTAAACATAATTGAATGGTTAAACAATCGACGGCCATCGATAACGAGTAACAATGATTATTCACCCACACCGAGATCGCATAATGTCTAGAGGCTTTTGTCTTGCTTACCAGCACTCGTCCGGGGTTTCGTTCGCACGGGTTTGATGTCCAGGCTGGTATTGCCATTGCCCGTGGATCCAACTCCATGACCACTCAGGGATCCGGATCCCGCTCCTCCACCGGTTCCACCACCGCTGCCACCACTCATGCTGCCCATGCCAGTGACGGAGCCACCAAGTGAATGCATACCCGCCCCGGAGGACGAGCCACTGTGATGGTGTCCACTATGATGGTGATGGTGATGATGGTGCGCCTGCGCCGCAGCCATGCTGTGACGCACTGCAGCAGCGGCCACCGAGGAACTTTGGAACATATTTGCCGCCGCCACCGCTGCCGCCTGATGATGGGCGGCTGCCTGGTGATAGGAGGCATAGCTACTGCTGTCGTAGCCACCGCTACCGCTGCTACCGCCTCCGCTGTTGTTCTGGGAGGCATAGTGCGCCTGGGCCGTGCCATCAAACAATCCGTTCGAGGACGTGGCTGCGGCGGCTGCTGAGGCGGACAGGGAGGCGGCAGCTGCTGCTGCTGCGGCGGCGGCGGATGAGGCGGAGGAGTTGCTGCTGTTGTTAGTGTTGCTGCTGCCCTGCTGCTGCTGCTGCTGCTGCTGTTGCTGGGATTGCTGCTGCTGCTGCTGCTGCTGCTGTTGACTGCTGCTGGAGTTGGAGCTGGGATTAGTGGTAGTACCTTCGCGCTGCTTGGGCGCCGAACTCTGGCTGGGTCCGCTGCCGGAGGAGACGTTCGCGCTGCCGTTCTGGATCGACGGCTTGATGTCCAACGCACAGCTGGCGTCCGTCAGTGAGGTAGAGCCCGTGGCCTGCTGGTGCATAAAGGCGTTCATCACGGCCTGCGAAAAGGTCGAAAATGCTGGTTAGTTCATGAAGGTGAAGTCTAACTAAATGATATTATCGAGAACTTGCAGGAACTTGGAAATATCAATCGATAAACTTATGTAAAACTTTCTTACCTGATACTCAGATGGACCGGTTTGCACGGAATCGGGCGTGGAATCCTTTGGCGGCGTCGGCGGGAAGGGGAACGAGTGCTGGCCGGCGGCTGTCGTCTGATGGCCCTGGCCCATCTGGCCCAGCTTGTGCTCCACCTGCGGCTCCTGCGGGCAGGCAAACTGGCCCATGCTCCAGGCACTGGCGGGGGCGAAGGACTTGTGCTCGCTGGTCAGCCATGGACTCAGCGGGGTGTGGAAGTGCGGCCGGCACACCTGGGGCGTGGCATGGGTGGAGGGCATGCGGGATGCTGCAAGAAAAATAACGAAAGGCGGTTAAAAATCAACTTAAATGCTGCATTAAATCAATTATGGCCCGAATTTATAACGAAGATTAACCGAGTAAGCCTCGACCAGAAGCGATCAAAATTCGTAATAAATGACGCTCCGTCTCTTCTCCGGCCGTTCCTACTCTTATTTTCCTCTGTTGGCTGCCGCGCAAATTTGCGGAAAAGCTGCGTTATAATTTATGAAACACCAGCGAGAGAAAGAGCCGCCTCAGAATGGCCTTCGGGCCAACTTTGCATATGGCAAAGAGACCATAGAGACCACAGAGGCCACAGATACACCGGCGAGCGAGCGAGCGAGCAGGGGGAGGACTTCTGCATTGTCATAAATTGTTTAATTTGTATCATAAACAATCGCGTTAAACTTTTGTCCCAGAGCTAAAAAGATCGATCAACGGCTCGGGCCGGCTCACCTCGGCTTTTGGCCCGGCTAAAAGTGTAGCCTAAATGTCTGGCAGTGTATAATTTAGCAGACACCAAGTGAGATTTATGTGCGCCAATGCTGCCGGTTACTCCATCGATCCCAGTTCAACTCCCAGTCGCAGTCGCAGTCTTGGTTTGAGTCCAAGCCGATCCGTTCCTATCCCATCCAGCGATCGAGGGATCCGACAGATCCCCATATCCTCGCAGGAGGGGCATTATCGAGGGGGCACGTTGCAATTGTTTGGGGCGCACTTATTCTTATTATTATCATTAATATCGGCTGCAGCTCCCCAAAGAGTCGCAAGTCGCTGGCCCTCGGGCTTGTTTGTATGTGAAATTATTTTGATTATGCAGCAGCATCGGCAGGAGCAACCTCAGCAGGAGAAACAGCAGTCGGAGCTGGTTGGTTGGTCAACAGTAGGTCAGTTCATTGCTCGCCAAGATGGATTAGGCCAAATCAAGACAAGAGTCAAAAAGGCAGAGTGTAAAGGAAAGTTTGCAAGTCAGTTTGCTAGGAGAGTTCTGAATACTCTATGGCAGGAATATAATATAAGTTCTTGCAGTGGGAATTCAAGTTAATGAAGAGATTGTTTGTATAAGTTAATCTTTATACTACTTATTATATTTTTAGCTAAATTTTTTAGGATATTACGATATTACAATAAGAACATTTAATCCCGGTATTATCATATAATTCTATAAGCCAGTAAAAAGGACGAAATAAAATTCTTAGATACAAAAGTTTCGTTACCCTTCTCGCAAAGTTCATAAGAGTATTCATCAGTCATCATACGCAATCACAAAGAACCTGATCGATGGATGGCTCGAACGCTGGTTTTCTGCCGGATCGCTGTCTGCGATAATACCCATTTGATTATCCTAATAACAGTGCTTTAGTGGCGATATTATATGTACGTGTGCCTGATTATAGAAATTAGCTGCTGCCTGATGCAGCATCACATCAGAAGCAGAAACGTCAGAACCATGCAACCTGCAACCTGCAACCTGCAACTTGCAACTCGCCGAGACTTTTCCCAGTGCGATGCCTCAATCAAAGAAATGTGCTTATTGCTTTTCCCGATCTGCTGTGCAGACTTCACACTTTTGCGCCAACGACAAGTCAAATAAAATCGAAGAGAGTTCCCCATATGAAGTCGTCACTGCGGGTATATAATTTAGCAAGATCGAGGGAAATAATACCATTGGTCATGCTAAATTATATGTCCGGGCATCGTTGCATCTTTCGACCCGTTGCCAAATCAATGTCCGATGCGTTCTTTAATTGGCATGGCGAAACTTTCAATTTACCAACCGATGGTGTTGGCGATAGTTCGGCGGGCTGTTAATGTTAATCCCGGCGAGTATGACTCACTCTTACCTGTTTATTTTTTGTGTGTGTTTTTGTTTTTGTTGAGCTGAGGCTGTTCGCCGCTCGTATAAAACAATTCGCTAATAAATCAAGCTGGAGCTGAGTACACGGCAATTAAAGTTGCAAACTTGAAACAAAAAGAACGACATTTTTTTGCTGTATATGCAAAGCTCGTGCTGGTGGAAAACGCTGCCTGCCCTTGGTCGTCTCCAGGCTTAAAAAAAAAACAAAAGTAAAGCCAGCCTGACACGTTCTACACAACAACAACAAAAGCGGTAAAGTAACAACAATAAAACGTATAAATAAAATAAGTACAGAAACAAGAAGGGAAGACACGTTGGGTGACAAGGGAATTTATATACTCTTTTTGTTCTGTTTTATACAAAAATTTAATACTTCTAAGAGAGACCCGTCTTATCCCTACAGAATTATGATCTTGCATAGAAGTGGATCTACGGACACCTGGACTTCGCTCTTAATAAATTATAAAAATATATAAATATATAAAACTACAAGTACTCTCTTAAAGAGTATCCAAATCCAGCAAACAAGAAGAAAAGATTTTGAAGTTTTTGGCCTGCGCTTGATTTCTTCAAACTGACAGATCAAAGCCATGAAAGCCGACGTTCTCTCTTTCTCCTTCTCGCTTGTGGCTGGGACATTTTAAAAGCGTTTGACAGCGCTCAACGCTCTCAGCGCCTGTCCATCCGAAAGCCGGGCTAAGCCAAATCCAAAAAACCTGGCTTAAAGCGCCTTTTAATTGCAATCGAAGCTGACGCTTGACGACGACGTGAATGACATAATTAATGTGTATGTACGTAGGCAGGCTCGTATGCACTTAGCCGGACGTGTTGGACATTTGAAGATGACAGAAAAACTAGATGAAATGGCTTCAATTAGTAAAATGCATCAGCTGCCCGGAAAGTTATCATTTCGGCCATCTCGTTAGCATCATTTGAATGTGAAAGGCCAAGGGACAAACAAAGGACGAGCACAGTCGGGATGGGGTGACAGATCTCCTCAAAGCACATCTCGATAAGGAGAGGACACAGAAAAAGGATTGCCAGCTCTCTGGTAAATTAAATTCACACCAACCGAGCTGCCCCGGATTAGGGGTGCCAAAATGCTGGGCGTTATCAATCGAGGGAAATCAAATCCGCAAACGAGCGGCTCTCGCTCTCGCTCGCTTATCTCTAGGGTATTTTCCGAGGAACTTATGTGAGATGTCAGTGGCAGTCGATTAGTGGATTCAGCTGCTTCCTGCCCTCTAGCGGAGGCCAGCAATCAATCATGCGAACGGCCTGGCCTGGCCAGGACGAGGGAATCCTGCTGCTGCTGCAGCTTGACTTGACCCTGTCTGCAGGCGGTGGCTTAATTTATAGCCAGAGCTACCCTCGAGGAACAAGGACTTTGGGACTTGGGACCTGGGACCTGGGATCTGGGACTTTTCACCTGCTCAACGGGTGACGGTGTCGACTCCAGGTTGCCGTTGTAGGCGCGTGGCTCCAAAATGCGGTCAAGTGTTTGTGTCTCTCTTCTGTGCCGGTGTTACACCTGCTCCAAAATTGGAAATTGTTTAAGCATGCAGCAGCAGTGGAAACAGCAGCAGCAGCAACAACACAGGCAGCCAGCAACGAGCCATAAACTATAACGGATTCCAGTTTTAGCCACCACCGCCAGCCAGCTTGAGATCGAGCGCTCAGCAGGTAGGTCAGTTTCGGCTGCTCCAAGACACCTTGATGGTTAATAGTAGGCACAAGGAAAAATATTTCATATTTATATCATTCAAATGGATATGACAAGTGTCATAGTTTGGGAGATGTCGGGAATTAATCCTTTGTCAAATAGCATTGGAAATTGTGAACTAAGAAACAATGTATATTAATAATTAATGATGTATTAATGTTATGAAGTCTATCAAATTTCTTCCAGTGCCTCTTGAGCTATTTAATATATATATTTTTTTCCTTTTGGTGCACAAGTAGCAGTAGCTGAAACTGAAGCTGAAAACTTGGGTCTCCCGACTGCTTAGCATTTTGCGCGCTTGTTTGTTTTAATTATTTCTTTGCTTTTTGCAGTTGCGTGACTCCGACTGACTGACGGACCGAGTGACTGCCGGATGGCTGGATAGCCGGATGACTTGGTGACTGGATGGCTGGATGGGTGACTGGATGACTGCCCGAAGGACTGGCTGACTGACGGACTGGCCAAGTTGAGTGACTGACAGAGGCAGGCTGCATTATTAAGCGCAAACTGCGCTGCCTCCGCCATCTATATTATTAACACTTTATTTGCAGCGTTGCATGCCAGCTTATCATTAGTCATAAGTTGTCAATTGTATTTATGATAATGCGTTTAATAACTCAAGTAGCTGCCCTGGCTTGTATGTAAGTTATGCCGTTGCACAACGCACTGCCCTGGAAAATGCTCTCATTTATTTATTTCTTGTTGTCTTTTGCGGAATTATGGAATCGAGGAATTCTCTCGGTTATTAATTGCTTTATAATTGACGCAGAGCGTACCGCGATGAGACGGGAAAAAACAATACTGGTTTTGCGGCAAAACGTGTGAATTACGTGGCCAGGCCCAGCTTTTGCATACGTGCCACAATGTTGTGGCCACAATAAAAAAAATATATTTATAAAAGGAAAAACAAAATGTTAAGGAAAAGCTGGTTGACAACAACAAGCTGCTACAGTTGGGAGTTGGGCTGCGGCTGTGACTGGAACTGGGACTGGGACTGGGGCTGAGTTTCTCTGAAATGCGCCATTTTTGTGGCCATTTGCAACATTTGCAACGCCGGTGGTGGGTGAACATAAGGTAAAAAAGTAAAAATAAAAATAAAGAAATGCTAATAATGCGGCTGCAAGTTGGCACAAAAAGGCGCGTGCATTGAACTGGAATCCTGGCCACGCAATGCCAACTTATGCAAATGTTAAGCCCCACTGTCACTCAGCCAGTCAGTCAGGCAGTCAGTCAAAAAGGGACTGTTTTGGCCTGACAGTTGGTTGGGAAGTTGTTTTTACTCGGGGCCTGGCTAATGAGCGGACACCCCGCCCGAAAAGGATGCACCAATCCTGTCCAGAAATGCCTGCGGGCGCACTTATGACAGTTCGAAGCGTCAGCGAAATCATTAAAATTGACAAGTTTTTATATGGCAAAACCAAATTTG